TGGTCACATCTAAGTACCCTTAATAAAATTTCTTATAGTGCTTATTAGAATTGGTTCTAAATTTCATTTTTTAATTGCTTCCCTTTTTGAGAAAAGGTATGAACTTTTTCCAGCACATGCATTTACAAAGTTATAATTCACCAAGATTCTGGGTTGTTTTTTTATTGTGGTGGTGGTTATTTTTCATTTTTCTATAATTTGGCACATCCTAATCTTTTCCCTAAGGTCTGTATTTATATTGCTATTTTTCAGTTTGTCTTGGTATCATTGGTTCATCATCTGGCACCTGAGGCAACATGGTTTCACCACCATTACCTATACAGCACTACCCTATCTGAATAGATCTCACAACTGCCCTCCTCTGTTTTTTATGCCTTTGCCTGGGTCTGCTTTCCCATTAATGTTACCTGCTCCTAAAGAATGCCTTGAGGAAGTGATGGTGCTTCACAAGAGTTTTAAAATCTCGACGTTCATTTGAGTTTAGCCACTGTGTATCACTGGATTCCTAGCTTCCTTTCCTCAAGACTTTTTTTTTTTTTTTAAGATTTTATTTATTTATTCATGAGAGACAGAGAGAGAGGCAGAGACATAGGCAGAGGGAGAAGCAGGCTCCACGCAGGGAGCTAGACGTGGGACTCCATCCCAGGTCTCCAGGATCATACCCTGGGCTGAAGGTGGTGTTAAAGCGCCAAGCCACCCGGGCTGCCCCCTCAAGACTTTTTCCAAACTGAGAGTAACACCAGGGGTTCCCTGAGTAGCTCAGCGGTTTAGCGCCTGCCTTCAGCCCAGGGTGTAATCCTGGAGTCCTGGAATCGAGTCCCAGGTCGGGCTCCCTGCATGGAACCTGCTTCTCCCTCTGCCTGTGTCTCTACCTCTCTCTCTTTGTGGGTCTCTCATGAATAAATAAAATCTTTAAAAAAAAAAAAAAAACTTACACCAAGTTAATCAGATTCATGTTTTCTAAAGCTCACAAGCTTTCTCTCTAATGATTAATTTGGTCTTGATGACATTTATAGTTAATCATTAAGTTCCAGAATCTTTACATATTTTAATTATTACGATAACTTCATGTATTAATAAGTACTATTATCCCCATTTTATAGATGTGGAAACCAAAAATCAGGGAATTTAAGTAACTTCCCCAAGAGCCTATAGTAAGTGGCTGCCTTTCCCACTAGGCCAATATTTCCCAAAGAGTCCTTTGGAGGACATAATAGTTGTTCTCAAATGTATGTATGTATAAAAGTTATCTGACATGTTTATTAAAAATGTATCCCATAGTCCTTCAGTCTCCATCCTCCAGATTCTGATTCAGTGGGTGGACCCAGGCTCTGCCTTTCAACAAACTCTCTGGCAGATTTTGAGGCAGGCCATGTGTGCAGCCCCCCAGCTCAGGAGAGATGCAGACTGACTTCATTCCCAGCTATTTACCAGCACTTAATGAAGTACCGCATTTCCTGCTTTTCTTCTCCTTAAAGCCATAAATTAACCAAATTCTGAGATTTACTTTTATAGCAAAACTTAAGCTGACCGGGGTTTTCCAGAATTCAGGTTTTGTTGGGAGGCAGAATTCTAGCCTGAGGATCAAAAAAACTGGTTTCTTTGTCGCTTTCCTTTGCTGACTTCTTGCATGTCATTTGATAAAATAACCTTATTGTGTCTCATTCTTCTCCTCTATAAATGGAATGTGAAAATTCACGTCTACTACTCACTGAAAAGACCTCTAAAGAGGAAAACTGACCGTGGGAGGAGCATGAAAAGCTCCAGGCAAAGAACATGGCGTTGAGTCCTCAAGTTTCAATTACTCTTTTATCAAAGCGGAGAATACTGATTTTATTATGGTTGCCATTTATTTCACAAAACACAAGGAATAACTAACGTATTATGTTGGCATTTGTGAGACTGGCCTACAGTACTTTGTAATGCACAGGTTTTTTGTTCTTAGAAAAGTTATTTTAAGTCTATACAACTCATTTTCTTCATGTGTGAAACTGGAAGACATAATAATATTATCAACTTCATGCAGTGTTATCACTTCATGATTTGCATAAATGAGATTTGATGAATTACTCAGCCCAAATATTTTCATTCTCAATAGCCTAGCTTCCAGCTATTGATAATATCAGTATATTCACGCTTATGTCCCTGTTTTGCAAAAAACAAATATGAGGCTGTCTCTACTCTTAGGAAAGTTACTCTGAAGCAGATGAGAGAATCTAATCTGATACCGAAAACAACAGATTTGGTGGGATTTTCACAATGGGGAAAAGAGAGAAAAGCCAGAAAAGTGTATATAATATGACCCTAGCTTTTAAAAATGATTTTAAAACAATTACCAATTCCTCAGTAGCTTTGTATATATCCATGAAACACACATATAAAATATGTGTGTATATATATTTATATAATACATAATTTACTAAATATACACACACATCATTAATATAAGATGTTTTGGAGAGAGAATAAAGAAAATAAAGTAATAAAGAAAAGGAAGGAAACAAGAAAGAAACATATTCTTAAAACATATTTTAAAAATACATGGATGTCCATGATTTAAAAAAACATTTGTAAAAAATAAATAAATAAATAAAAATAAAAAAATAAAAAAAATAAAAAAGCATTTGTGATTATGATCCCACCTAAGTAAATTTGCATTTGTGGGTATGTATAGAGATGAGATAGATACATAACAACAGACAAAACACCAACTGGGGCTATTTCAAGGTAATGAGATTTAAGTGATCTTAACTCTTCGTCTGTATTATTAGACTATTTTTTATGATGACATGTTATTTATAATAACTGGAAACATTTTACGGATGACAGACTGTGTCAAAATATTTATTATTGTACATGATGTATTGTTTAATTTTGTCTTTTCAAGTGGTCTCTAAAAGGTATGAATTATTTTGAAATGAGAAAAATGATATTCTTCAGAGATGTATTCCCAGTAGTAACAAACTGCAGTGGAAAAAAGATATTCTTAATAGAAGGCCAAGGCTATTTTAGGTACCCAAATAAGGCAAAGTATACAATGAGCTGGTTTTGCCAGAACAAATTCAGCCACTCTTCTTTTTATTTTTTCTTTTCCTTCTGTAGATGTTTTGAATTATTTAAATCTTGGATTTGTTGAAAGAATCTATTTTTTTCAATCTTTACAGTATGTTTTTACTTATGTTTTCAACTCCTTATTATTTTCTACAACTCCACATGTCCCAAGCTGAACTCATTATTTCCTTTCTGCCTCAACTTCCTGTCTCCTTTTTTTAAGAGGTATATGATCACCTTCATCAAAGTCACCCAAACTGGATATCTGGGATCCACCCTGGATTCCTCCCTCAGTATCCAAAGAGTCGGTCATTTCTATAGATACTATATCCATCAGATCTCTCCTTATTACATCTCTTCTCCATAGCAATTGTCCTCATTGGTCCTACCCAGATTGCAGCAATTATCTTTAAAATAGTCCCCTATCTCCACTTAGAAAATTTGATCAAGCAGGAGAATGTCTAAATTTCTACATTAGGCAAACAGATGTGAGTTGTTTGCCTATCTTCACCTCCTTCAATGAAACAATCTCTTCAAAACATGCTGTCTTGAGGGCTGTCAGTCACAATATTCTCATCCTGCATGATATTACAAGCCAGGCAGTGAGAGCTTCATTCCCTTAGGCTTAATGACTGGTTCAGGGATGGGTTTATGATAAGTAAGGTCAGACAATCTGTCCCATTATTTCTCTGCTAAAAATAGAAGAAAAACTCTCTCTTGCTTTTGGCAAGTTACAGATTAATAAACTGTGATAGTAAGTAATAAAATAATAATAAAAAATAAACTCTTCTGTTAAGACTTATTTCCTTGAAACTTTCTAGGAGGTCATGATCAAACAGTGTAAAGACATAGAGCAAGCCAATTCTTTTATTTGTCCTATGAGTAAGCAAAAAGTTTCATCTGGTTGGGAACCAAGTCCAATTTTAAAAAGGTAGCCAGGTTAGTAGTGATTTATGATGATTTCTACTGTATTATCAGTATAGTCATTCTTAAAATTAATTAATTACAATTTCTAATTTCAATGAGGTTATAAATATCTATATTTATCATCCCACATTAGAGGATTGTCATAGCAATTGTCTATTTTTTGTTCTAACTTTTTATTGATTAATAATATGCATAAAGAGTACACAAAGTATAGAGCTTAGTAAATGTTCACAATTGAATATAACTTTGCTACTATACATTTTTATGCACATAAATAAATTTTAAGATATCTAGAGTCAGGACCATGTTTTCATTTTTCTCAACACCTGATTCAATCCCAGGCCTATTGGCAATGCCCACTATTGATGTCACTGTATTTTACCTGCCAGACATTTTATACTTAAAAGTCATCAGGTAAAAGGATAGAAAGGATAAATGCAGGACATTTATTTAACAATATTTCTGTCAATAGCTAACAATTATCAAATGCTTATAGGTACTATTATTATCTCAGTTTTACAGATTAGGAAACTGGTAGATGGAGATATAAAAAGTGACTGAGATCAAATAGCCAGTAAATTGAAGAGTAAGACCCCAAGAAAAAATTCAAGTTAAACCATTGAGTCCTTCCACTATGATAATTACGTATTTCATTGAGATGATAAAAACTTAACAATCTTTCTAAAAAGCAAGAGACAATGCACTTTACTTTAGTAAACATTAACAATGATTCTGTCTTGAAGGAAGAAAGCAGTTGAGTGAACTCTAAGTATCTAAAATTCTGAAAAAAAAGACAAGCAAGAGCACATGTTATAATTTAAGACTTACTTTTTTTTAAAGATTTTATTTATTTATTTATTCATGAGAGACACAGAGAGAGAGAGGCAGAGACACAGGCAGAGGGAGAAGCAGGCTCCATGCAGGGAGCCCGACGTGGGACTCGATCCCGGGTCTTCAGAATCATGCCCTGAGCCAAAGGCAGATGCTCAACCACCGAACCACCCAGGCATCCCAAGACTTACTTTTTTATTATAGCTATCTTCCATTTCTTCCTGGATCCAAATCACCTCTGCAGCACTGGCTTCTTTTCCATATTGTTGCTTATTTGGAACCTCTGGAATCCTCAATTTGGGCTCTCTTCCTGATGGGTGGTATGATGCTTCTGAGTGGGCAGACTGTCTCTCATCTCTGGAAATGCCTATACATTTTATTATAAGATAATAAATGAGAAGGTCAAATTGTCCTTGAAGCCATTGAGAAAATCCCAACCAAAACCCCACAAAATCACATTTACTCAAATTGCTTAAGGTGAAGAAATTCTTCAGATTCTTTAAGATATGTTAGAAATGGAGAGGGTGGTCCAAGATGGTAGCACAAAGACCCTGAACATACTTCCTCCTATGGATATGCCAAATCTACAACTACATATGGATTAATTCCCTCTTTAAAAATGTGATAAATAGCTGAACACCTTCCTCCACAACAAGGGATAGAAGGGCTAGGAGAAGGGTAGGGAGAAAGAGGAATAGGAGAGGAAGTCTAACCAAAACCTACACATGGCAGCATAAACTAGGGAGGGATCTCATGGACCAGAACCTCTCCTTGAAAAGTGAAGGGTTTATGCCCCACATTGGGCCCCTCAGCCTTGGGACCCGTACCAGAGAGGAGGCATGAAAAATGTCTGGCTTTTGAAATCAATGGGGCCTTTATCCAGGGGACCCAGGGGACCCAGGGTACTGTGGGAATCTGAGATACTCCTTTTGAGGGGCTCCCGTGTAAACTCATTCCAAGAAGCAGGGCAAAGGCACCACAGTTTTAGAAGTGACTGGATTATTTGTAAGGGTGACTAAGTTGCTAATTTTAAAACATCTGTCACAGGTGCATTAATTAGTTGGGATTTTCCTTGGGGGCAAAGCACTGGAAAGTGACTTTTTTTTTCTTTTTTTAAAGATTTTATTTATTTATTCATGAAAGACACAGAGTGAGAGACAGAGGCAGAGACAGGCAGAGGGAGAAGCAGGCTCCATGCAGGGAGCCCAAAGTGGGACTCGATCCCAGATCCCAGGATCACAACCTGAACCGAAAACAGGCACCCAACCACCGAGCCACCCAGGCATCCCGAAAGTGACATTTTTTGCACTCTTTCTGCCTTGTTAACATAGGCAGGCACACATGGACACAACCTTAATAAAGCTATAGCCTTGCCTTGCTCCCAGAGGTCATCCCAATCCTCACTAAAGCCATAGGCACGCTGTACTCCTAGTGCTCTTCCCTGGCATTACTAATACTTGCTCCCAACACTTTTTCCTGGACTCAATAAAGTCACAGGCAACCACAGCCTTATTAAAGCCAGTGGGAGTGCAGTTCACATGGAGAAGGCCTCTTGATTGTCTGGCTCTGGTAGTCAAGGGACTTGTGCTTTTGGACCTCAAGGGTCTATAACAATAAGAAAGACAATTCTGGGCAGCAGACAGCACACTGAAATAACACCCCCAGTCTGTACATGAAAAAGGCCCACTTAATTGTCCTGGAGCTTCACCCTGAGGGACAGGATTCAGGTTTGCCACTGATCTAAAGGCTACAGAGCTGTTCTTAGGGAATATAGGCAGGGACATACTATGTACACACCTTCCCTTGGCCTCACCAGAGCTCACTGGTACCTCCCAGAAAGGTGTTTAACCACTTGCTAAATCCCCAATTCTTGCAAATGTTTCTCAGGGGACACCTCCAGATCTTTTATCTAGGGATCAGCAGGATCTATGATTGCGATACCTCACAATAACTCCAAAGCAAAAACTTACAATAGATACACAAAAGATAATGAGATAGGAATCTAAAGTAATACTAAAATTCATAAAACCACAAAAGAAGAAAGAGAAGAAAGGTACACAGAGGAAGTGCAAAACCTCTAGAATACAATGAACAAAATGGCAACAAGTACATACCTATCAACAATTACTTTAAATGTAAATGGACTAAATTCTCCAAAGATTTAGAGTAACTGAATGGATAACAAAAATAAAAACAAAACAAAACAAAGCAAAACAAAAACAAGACTCATTATTTTCCCACAACAGACTGACATCCCATCTAAAACACACACACAATGAAGGTAAAGGGATGGAAAAATGATTTTCCACACAAATGGAAATGAAAACAAAGGTAATATATGAAAACCCACAGCAAACATCATACTTAACAGTGGAAAGCTGAAAGCTTTGTCTAAAATCAGAAATAAGACAAGGATGCCCATTTTCACCACTTTTATTCAACATTGTATTGGAAGCCCTAGCCATGGAAATTAGGTAAGAAAAAGGAATAAAAACATCCGAATAGAAAAGAAAGAAATAAAACTATCACTATTTGCAGATGACATCATTCTATCTATAGAAAACCCTGAGGATTCCACCAAATAACTCTTAAACTAATAAATAAGTTCAGTAAAGTTACAGGACATAAAATTAGTATATTAAAATTGGTAGTACCTATATACTAATAACAGAAATTTATCAGGAAGAAAATTTTAAAAAAATTCCATTTGCAATAGCATCAAAAAGAATACAATACCTAGGAATAAAATTAACCAAGGAGGTGAAATACCTGTAGACTGAAAATTATATAACAATGACAAAATAAATTGAAGATACAAATAAATACAAAGATATTTCCTGTTCATAAATTGGAAGAATTAATATTGTTAAAATGTCCAGATTACCAAAGCAATCTACAAACTTAATGCAATCTCTATCAAAATTCCAATGGCATTTTTTTTACAGAACTGGAACAAATAATTCTAAAATTTGTATGGAACCATTAAAGACCCCAAATAGCCAAAGCAATCTTGAGAAAGAATAAAAGTGGAGGTATCATGCTCTCTGATTTCAAACTATACTGCAAAGCTATAGTAATCAAAACAGTATGGTATTGGCATAACCAATACATAGATCAATGGGACAGAAAAGAGAATTCAGAAACAGATCCACACATATATAGTCAATTAATCTATGACAAAGAAGGCAAAAATATACAATGAGGAAAGGACAGTCTCTTCAATAAATGGTTTTAGGAAAACCAGACAATCACAGGCAAAGGAATGAAAGTGGACTGCTATCTTACACTATACACAAAATAAACTCAAAACAGAGTAAAGACTTAAATATAAAATCTGAAACAATAAAACAAGAAAATATATGCAGCAAACTCTCTGACATTAGTCTTAGCAATATTTTTTTTTTGATCTGGCTTCTCAGGTAAGAACTACAAAAGCAAACAAAACAAAACAAAACCAAAAACAAATAGGACTACATCAGACTAAAAGGCTTCTGTACAGTGAAGGAAACCACCAATAAAATAAAAAGGTAACATTCTGAATGGGAGAAAATATTTACAAACCACATATCAGGTAAGGGGGCTAATATTCAAAATATATAAAGAACTCAATAACAAAAAACCTGAACAGTCTGATTTAAAAATGGGTAAATAATTTGAATAGATATTTTTCCAAAGAAGACATACATAGATGGCCAATAGGCACATGAAAAGATGTTCAATATCACTAATAATCAGGGAAATGCAAATCAAAATCACAATGAGATATCACTTCAAACTTGTTAGAATGGCTGTTATCAAAAACACAAGTAATAACAAGTGTTGGTAAGGATGTAGAGAAAAGAGATTCCTTATTCACTGTTGGTGGGAAGATAAATTGGTGCCACCACTATGGAAAACAATATGAAGATTCCTCAAAAAATTAAAAATAGAACTACCATATGGTCCAGCAATACCACGTCTGGGTATTTACCCAAAGAAAATAAAAAAACTAATTTGAGAAGATACATGTTTACTGCAACATTATTTACAAAAGCTTCCCAACACCATTTGTTGAAGAGGCTATCTTTTTTCCATTGGATTTTTTTTCCTGCTTTGTTGAAGATTAGGTTCATTTCTGGGTTTTCTCTTCTGTTCTATTGATCTATGTGTCTGTTTTTAAGCCAGTACCATATAGTCTCGATGATTACAGCTTTGTAACAGAGTACAGTACAGAGTACAGATGCTACCAGTTTCAGTTTTCTTTTTCAATATTTCTTGGGCTATTTGGAGTCTTTTCTAGTTCCCTACAAATTATACAAATTATAGGATTACTTGTTCCAGTTCTGTGAAATACATTGATAGTATTTTGATAGGGGTTGCATGAATGCATAGCTTGCTCTAGGTAGCATAGACATTTTAACAATATTTGTTCTTCCAATCCATGAGCATGGAATGCTTTTCCATTTCTTTGTGTCTTCCTCAATTTCTTTCATGAGTATTCTATAGTTTTCTAAGCCCAGATGCTTCACCTCTTTGGTTAGATTTATTACTAGGTATCTTACGGTTTTTGGTACAATTGTAAATGGGATAGATTCCTTAATTTTTCTTTCTTCTGTCCCATTTTTAGTGTATAGAAATGCAACTGATTTCTGTGCACTGATTTTATGTCCTGCCACTTTGCTGAACTCATGTATGAGTTCTAGCAATTTTGAGGTGGAGTCTTTTGGGTTTTCCATATAGAGTATCATGTCATCTACAAAGAATGAGAGTTTGACTTCTTTGCCAATTCAGATGCCTTTTATTTCTTTTTGTTGTCTGATTGCTGAGGTGAGGACTTCTATATACTATGTTGAACAGTAGGGGTGAGAGTGGATATCCTTGCCATGTTCCTAACCTTAGGGGAAAAGCTTTCAATTTTTCCCCATTGAGAATGATATTCACTGTGGGCTTTTTGTATATGGATTTTATGATATTGAGCTATGCTGCCTCTATCCCTACACTATGAAGATTTTAATCAAGAAAGGATGCTGTACTTTGTCAAATGCTTTTTCTGCATCTATTGAGAGGATCATAAGGTTCTTATCCTTTCATTTATTAATGTAGTGTATGTACCACACTGATTGATTTAGGGATGCTGAACCACCTTTGCAGTCCAGGAATAAATCCCACTTAGTCATGGTGAATAATACTTTTAATGTACTGTTGGATCCTATTGGCTAATATCTTGGTGAGAATTTTGGCATTCATGTTCATCAGAGATATTGGTCTGTAATTCTCTTTTTCAGTGGAGTCCTTGTCTGGTTTTGAGATCAAAGTCATGCTGGCCTCATAGAAAGAGTTTAGAAATTTTCCTTCCATTTCTGTTTTTTTGAAAGAGCTTCATAAGAA